TTTTCGGTGTTTTGATGATGTTAGCCACATTTTTCAAAGGAATTGTCTGAAAATCCATACAAGGAGTTCCTTATGGGTACTTTATACCTCGGAAGAGAATTATCTATATCGGTCCACAATATCGTATATTTCCCATATAACGGAACCCCCGATATTCGGTAGTTTGATAACATTACCCACAATTTTCAACGGAATTGTCTGTGGGTACAAGGAATTCCATGTGGGTACTTTATACCTCAGCACAGAATTATCTATCTAGGTCCACGATATCGTATATCCCCCATATAACTGTACCCCCTGATATTCGGTGTTTTGATGATTTTAGCCACATTTTTCATCGGAAATTGTACATAAGGGGTTTCTTGTGAGCACTTTACCCCCCGACAGAGAGTTCTTTATATAGGTTAATGATATCGTATAGCACCCATATAAAGGTACCCCCGATATTCGGTATTTTGATGATTTTAGCCACATTTTCAAATCGTATTGTCTGAAAATCCACACAAGGAGTTCTTAGTGAGCACTTTACCCCCTGAAACGGAATTGTCTATATAGGTGCGCAATATCATATATCCCCCATATAACGGTACCTCCCGATATTCAGTAGTTTGATGATTTTAGCCACTTTTTCCAATGGAATTATCTGAAAATCCACACAAGGAGTTCCTTGTGAGTACTTTACACCCAGACATATATTTGTCTTAATAGGTCCACAATATCATATAAACCCCCATATATTGGCATTTTCCTATATTAGATATCGTAAAGATTAAAAAAATAATTTTTTTTGAAAATTTTCTAATTCGTCCCAAATGGTGGAGGGTATTCAAAGTTCGGCCCGGCCGAACTTAGTGCTTTTTTACTTGTTCTGTTTAGATTTTACAACACCGAATTCAAAATATGATTTTTTTACATGATCGATTATATTCCGAACTTAAAACCTGTAAAGTCTGGAAGTTCCGTGGTGGGAAATAAATCTATTCATAAGTAACTAAACATAAAAAACAGTAAGGAAAGGTCAAAAGTCAGACCGGGCCGACTATATGATCCCGAAATTCACTCAATTTGGGTTGCTATTAGTCATTATTTGTACAATAAACCTGAAATTGGATTAAGAATATACTTGGGAGCTATATCCAAATCATAGCCGTTCTCGATGGAAATGTATTTCCGAGCTTTATAAGATATCTGGTACCAAATATCATTGTTGTCGAATGCATATTACTTGATTCTAGACTGAATACGGTCGCATGTACCAAAACTCAGGACTTTTTGACAGATATTGGCCATTTGGTGCACAATTAACCCGAAATCGGTTGAAGATATATATGGGACCTATATCTTAATCTGAACCGATTTTATTAAAATTTGGCAGAGGTATTTCTGGGCTGTATATGATAATTTGTACCAAATGTCATTATTGTGGAATGCATTTTACGAATGTGAGGGACTTCAACACCAACTCAGATGAAACATATATATGAGAGCTGTAGGTATATCTGAACCGATTTTCCTCAAATTTACTGTACTTGCTTCTAGACAGAATTTGGTCGGATATGCCAAAATTCAGGTCATTTGGACTGATATTGGCTATTTGGTGCACATTTAACCCGCAATCGGTTGAGGACATATATGGGAGCTATATCCAAAGCTGAACCGATCTTGATAACTGGTACCAAAGATCATTGTTGTGGAATAAATATTACGCATGTGAGGGACTTTAAACCCCAAATCAGATTAACCATCTTTTGTGTCTCGTACCATCACTCGTTACTGTGATACTCGTAGCGCAAATTTGAACAAATCTAAACTTATTCTAAAATTTGATGCTTTTTCCGACATTTTTCGCTTTCATTCAATATTCATTCATTTAAAATAAAATCTAAAAATTATGGCGTTTGACTTTGTTGCAGTTTTTTATCCCACTCTGTATTAAGGGTCAAATGTTGAGGTTTGCAGGGTTGCCCATATTCGACGGACCTTTGGGCCCATTCCAATCGACGAGGCTTGTCCGCATTTTAGGTCTGTAGAATTGTTGGTACTGAAAATGGATCATATAGGTCCATATTTTAATACAGCTCCCATATACTGTACCGCCAGATTGAAGTTGTTTTGGCCGATTTAAGTCATATTTTTAAACAGAATTTGCTGTAAATTCTGCAGTTTATATTCCCTGTTTATGGGAAAAATCCATGAAAATAACTGTCCATAAAAATCCAAATTTTCGTATAGTATAGTCAAGTGACTGTGTCTCCAGATATTCGGTATTTTAATGACATGTGTCAAAGTTCTCAAACTTGATATTCGGAGTTCGTAATAATCATCGTCCTCGCCGACAGATAATTGAATATAGAGGTCCACGTTTTATTATAGCCCCATTTAACTATAACACCTGACAATCGGAAATTTTAAAATATGCTCGAAATACTCATGTTGGACCCAAAAAAGCACATATACAGGGTGAGATAAAAAGAAACTGCAACAAAGTCAAACGCCATAATTTTCATAGAAAGCAAAATTTTCAATGAAAGCAAAAAATGTTGGAAATAGCATCAAATTTTAGAATAAATTTAAATTTATTCGAATTGGTAACCCTTGGCACGAATTATGGCCTTGAAACGGCCAATGAAACCGTCACACGCTGCCCGAGTGTTGCTCTGCGGTATTTTGGCCCATTCCCGGCGAATCGCTTGATTAAGGAAATCGCCACTTTGGTATTTTTTAGTCCAACGGATTGGTATCCGAAGATTTTGGTGGCCATTGTGCACTGGAAATGAAGCGAGGAACCTCATTTTTTAACCATTCTTGGGTGGCGCGTGCTGAGTGCGATGCTGCTTAATCTTGTTGGAATTTCCAAGATCTGCGGCAAAAATGTTTTCGTGCATAAGACTTTAATACGCCTTCCAGAATATTTTCGCGATAATATTCAGCATTTATTCTGATGCCACAGTCGATTAATACGATCGGAGAGCGACAATCGGCTGCTATGGCGGCCCACACAATCAACATGGTGATGCTTGAGTTCTGGTGGCCAACCGAAGGTGTACATTTTCAGCTAACCTCATTGGAAAGAAAACTCGATCATTTTTGTATTTACAAACTGCTGGACAACGAATGTTTTCTCATCGTAGAAAACCAAATTCGGCAGCTCAAGCGAAGCACATCTTTAGCTCTTTTGAGTCTATTTTCTTTCTGTTGCGGTGTAAGTTCTTGCACTTTTTGGAATATCAATGACTTTGCCCGAGCTCATTTTTATACCCAGGGTGGTCAGGGTATTATGTTTTTGTGCATTTGTTTGTAACAGGCTAAAAGAAAACGAGTTAGACCCTCAGTTCCTTTTGATGATCTACATAGAATCACATTCTGAGTCGGTTTATGCATGTCCGTCCGTCTGTCCATGTATTTTTGTAAACAAAGTACAGGTCGCATTTATTGCCCGATCCAGATGAAATTTTGCACAGATCATTTGTTTGGCCCAAGGACGAACCCTATTGAAATTAAAGATAATCGGTCAAAATTTAGACATAGCTCCCATATAAATCTTCCTTCGATTTTCATTTTATTGTGCACCAAACGTGTAATATCAGCACGAACTGTATGGATATACACCCAAATTAGGCCTGAAAATAAGTATGCCAAATTTGATCGAAATCGGTTCAGATATAGCCATAGCTCCCATATATATTGTTCATCGGATTTGTTATTTTTGTCTTCCGCAGCCGTAATATACACTCTGCAACAACAATATTTGGGGAAATATATCAAATACAGCTCAGAAATACATTTGCTAAATTTTATCGAGATCGGTTCAGATTTGGATATAGCTCCCATATATAACTTCGTCCGATTTACCTTTTATTGTGCACCAAACGTCTAATATTTGCATAAATAGGATGGAATATGGCACATACGACCGAATTGAGTCTAGAAGTTTGTATGTCAAATTTGGTGAAGATCGGTTCAGATATAGCTATAGCTTCCATATATATTGTTCATCCGATTTGTTATATTTGTTACCCACAACCGTAATATGCACTCCGTAACAACGATATTCAGGGAAATATATCGAATGCAGCTCAGAAATATCTTTGCCAAATTTTATCGAGATCGTTTCCGATTTGGATATAGCTCCCATATATATATTTATCCGATTTTAAATTAATTGTGCGCCAAATGGGCAATACAAATCCGAATTTAAAAGATACAAATGCTTCGGCATATTTAGTCCTTTGAACTTTTAATTATAATTATAATCATAGCGTGTATGATTGAATTCTCCCATAAAAACTTTTAATTGTTATGTGGAGCTCTACTAAATTAGCAGAGTGGTTTAGGGTATAATAAAATCGGCCCCACCCGACTTTAAGGCTTTCTTTACTGGTTCAATATTTGCCGAATGAAATATTGCGATATGTTCAGCTCACGAGCCATTTGTTGTCCACTGCGACGCGGGTCTCGATCAAGTCGCTTTTTTACTTTTCGAACCATTTCTGCTGATGTTGCTGTTTTCGTCCACCCACCTCCTTGACGTCGGGCTACGCTACCAGTATCACGGTAACGAGCGATGGTACGACACACAAAAGATTTATTCACAATTAAATGCCGGAGTGCTCTAATGATAGCCACTTGTGGTTTTCCAGCCACATATATAATATCACGCTTGAATTCTATCACGAATAGCATTCAATATAGCTAAAGTGCGAAAAAAAAATATTTTTTTTCCACTCATATTGAAACTCAGCCACTGATTTTCTTCAAGAGATCTGTATATACGAATATGAAATATTAATATTCCTCCCAAAGGGAACCCATATAGTCCAAACTTCGTGATGATGTTCGCATTTTCTATTCGTTAAATTTAAATTATATCAAATTTCTTGCTAAATAACCTTAATCAAAAACGTGCCTTTGTATTGTAAACATCTACTATACCCTCCTATTTGTTGTTCTTTGGATAACATAACTTTCTTATTTTTTTTCTTCTTCTTATTTCATTACAGCAAATTAGGAACAACACCAAAAATAGAAAATATGGAAGCATTTAAAAAACATCTGCACGAACATTGTTACTACCAGGCCTGCAAGACAGTTGTTCTAAAATAAAAAAAAACAAGCAGTCGTTGTGGCCTTAGGTCTCTGAAGTTAAGTGGTGACAACAACACTGTCGCCGCTGACACTGGCACTGACACATTGGATGCAGCTCAAGAGCAGCACCACAAAACATTAGCAACTAAGTCAATGTTAATCTCCAAGTGCCAGCATCACTAACGACAAATAACACTACAAGAACAACAGCAACAAACAGGAATCTATCTGGTGAGTGGTCCCAGTCGTCATCTCGTGGTCCCAGTCGTCCTCGTCATCGTCATCATCATCAATGGCAGATGTTGCAGTAACGGTAAAATAGATTTAAAAGCAATTTACGCCAGCAACGACAACGTCTATATTAGCCAACATCATTGGAAAATATTGCTGGAACAACTTCCGTGCAGAGGAGGCAGAAGCGAGAGGTTAGCAAAACATAAATCTCACTCTCACTCCCTGCGTATAAACGTTTCCATTACCATTGACTAATATGCTAGATCTTAACATTCCCACGGTGAATACAATCTCCGCCACCATTTCACCCTATGATGCTGAAATATTTCAACAGAATCGTCATCACATTGCCGAGACAGCAGCAGCTAAAATGTCAGCAACAATGTTCGATACTCCCCCGACCACACTGCCTCTACCACAGGCTGAGAGTGGAATTAATCTAACACAACAGCTGACGGACACACTGCTGGACCCCATGGCAACGGCAACGGCAACTGGTGGCACGACCTCATCGGCCTCATCCCAGTTATATCCCTTGGTAAATGTAGCTAGCAATTTCGTTTACGATTGGTGCAATCAATCGTTGTATCCACAGTCATCCTCTGCAGCAGCTTATTTCGCCTCCAGTGACGGTAGTTCAAATAGTCCAAGTGGTTACAACTGTTCGCTGCTCACGAGCACAAATGGCTGGAATACATCGAGTAATGATACATATATGTAAGTTATGACATTGATATTACTGTTGTAGTTGTTGTTGTTGTGAAAAATTTGCTCGAGTCTTAAAGTTCGGAGAATGCAATTCAAGATATGAGAAATATTTTAAATTCTAAACGATAAAATATAGAACATAACAGCGTATACGTAATACATTTATCTCTAAGTCATAACTCATACGCACACAAGCAAATGAATGCAATAAGGCTATATGCCAGGTAATAAATTCTGACGAGTTGCAGGTCAGGGAGTCGTAAGGACAATACAAACCCTTTGGACGAGTAGAAAGATCAGGACGTTGCCATAGACTTTAGAGAAAACTATTAGTGCAAGAGAGTTTTTAAAGGCCCATAAAACTGAAATTCTTTATGGGCTAGCTGAACGGTCTGGGATTCATAGTAAATAAGTTGCAGATCCATGAAATCTTCATGGACTTTTCATAGAATGGAAGGGCGTGTACATTTTCTGCTAATAGCCCTGGTAGTAATTATAGGCGAGTTGCAATTCAGGAAGACTTTATAGATGAGCTGAAGGATAGTGAGTCTTAAGAGACTAGCCGAAGTCATAGGGAGTCTAAATGTTCAAGTTAAAGGGACTGATAGTCTGTAAAAGAGCTGAGGCAGACATAGGAGAATACATAGGGTGTCCGTATTAGTCAGCTAAAGGAACAGAGAGTCTGAGATGTTTAATCAGTGTCTACGTCAAACTGGGAGGCCCCAAGGACTATCAGAGAAGTTCAGCCGGTGGCAATAGACAAGCTGAAGGGCAGTCTTTTTTTAAAGAACAGCTGATTGCCAGCAACGGTCTATAGACGCGCTAAAGGCCAGCTGTTTTCCATATACCCGCTGAGGACCAGTCGGTCATTATAGACCCTTGGATCCAGCCGGTCTTTATAGAGCCCCTGGGGGATAGCCGCAAACAAGGAGGTTCCAAAGGGAGGAGGTCCCAAGGACAAACAGGGAAGTTCAGCCGGTGGCAATAGACAAGCTGAAGGGCAGTCTTTTTTTAAAGAACCGCTAATTGCCAATAAGGGTCTATGGACCCGCTAAAGGCCAGCTGTTTTCCATACATCCGCTGAGAACCAGCCGGTCTTTATAGAGCCCCTGGGGGATAGCCGAGAGACCAACCGGCCTTCATATACCTTTGAAAATTAGCCAAACTCCATTTGAAGTTCTTCGATACCACATATAGGTCTTCTCAGTGAAGACTAAATACTGGTCTTCTAAGAGAAGACCATCTACTGATCTTCTAAGAGAAGACCATCTACTGGTCTTCTATGAGAAGACCACCTACTGGTCTTCTAAGAGAAGACCATCTACTGGTCTTCTATGAAAAGACCACCTACTGGTCTTCTAAGAGAAGACCATATACTGGTCTTCTAAGAGAAGACCATATACTGGTCTTCTAAGAGAAGACCATCTACTGGTCTTCTAAGAGAAGACCATCTACTGGTCTTCTAAGAGAAGACCACCTACTGATCTTCTACGATATGACCAACTACTGGTGTTCTACGAGAAGACCACCTACTGGTGTTCTACGAGAAGACCACCTACTAGTCTTCTTCTCGGTGAACACAAAATACTGGTCTTCTAAGAGAAGACCATCTACTGGTCTTCTAAGAGAAGACCACCTACTGATCTTCTACGATATGACCATCTACTGGTGTTCTACGAGAAGACCACCTACTAGTCTTCTTCTCGGTGAACACAAAATACTGGTCTTCTAAGAGAAGACCATCTACTGGTCTTCTAAGAGAAGACCACCTACTGGTTTTCTAAAAGAAGGCCACCTACTGATCTTCTACGACATGACCACCTACTGGTCTTCTATGAGAAGATCACTTACTGATCTTCTATGAGAGAACCACCTACTGGTGTTCTACGAGAAAAAGACAACTTTGGGTCTTTTATGAACAGAAGGCCACTTTCGGGTTATCTATGAAAAGACCTCTTCTGGACTTTTAGGAGGAGACCACCTACTGTCTTATGAGAAAATTGCCTCCTGATCTTCTATGAGAAGAACACCATCCGCCACCACTACTCTTCTACGAAAGGTCCGCGTTAGGCTCTTTCATGAGCAGATCACCTTTTGCTTTCCTATGACAAGACCATCTTTCTATGAGAATAACCCGTTCTGGTCTTCCATGAGAATGTTCCGTTCTTTTATGTGCCCTTCTTCCATGATAATGTTTATGCTTTTCTGTAACAAGAAGACCTCCTTCTGGTTTTCTGAGAGAATTTCTGTGTGAGGTCTTCTGGGCTTCTATGGCCGATGAGAAAAAAAACATTATCTGGTATTCTTTGATAAGAATACCACATTCCGGTCTTCTACGAAGAGACGACTTGATCTTTTACAAGAAGAGGTTTTTCTCTTTTACGAGAAAATCCTCTGGCACTAAAATTCCCTCCCGATCCCTTTCCTCCCTCCCTTTCTCTCCCTCTCTCCTTTTTCTTTACTGAACCCAATAAAAATCGGGTTGCTTGTGTCTTTGCCTTGCCCTTTGTAATATTTTCACAAACTTCATGCCACCCATTTAAAGCAATAAATTCTAACAACACTTTCTCTGAAATTGTTGTTTTATAATAGAAACAAATTAGGTTAACATGGACGTTTGTTTTTGTTGTTGCTTGTTTTCCAACAAAACTGTTATCCGTTCCATTACTAATTACAAACGTTTAATTATAACATCATCCGACATCATTACTTCTACAATTAATTACAACACAGTTAATTGCTTCGGCGTTTCTAACATGTTGTACATGCATGTATGAGTGTAGGTGCGAGAAGCGGGCGAATAAGTGTGTCACTGCATGTTTTGCGCCATTAAATGTCACTAAAATAATAGCTTTCCATAAGATTTCCCTGTTACTTTTTTTAAAAAAATTTGCATATGGCGAAAAATTCAAGGGAAAAATAAAACACAGGTATTTTTTAATTAAGAGTCAGACGTTGATTGTTGGCTGGGTGTGAGTTGGAGATGGCGGCGGGAGGAAGCGAATACAAACCTTGTTTTAACCACCAGGTTACGAGGGTGGTGGGGAAATTTTTTGTGAAAATATTCAAAAAATATGGACAGAAGCATTAAGTCATATTCTATTTCAAGGATTTTAATAACTGATACGTTTAAAATTTCCTATTAAGGCTTGCAGGAACTTATCAAGAACATTCTAAAAATTTAATTTTAAATTTTTGATGGAATATTGAATTGATAGAAATCCATTCTGTATTAATTTTACAACCAAATTTCCAAACCTTCTTCAACCATCCACCATATTGGCGAGGAAGAAAAAAAGGCAAAACAATGCCGTTCCATCTTGGTAGGCGTTATAGTGAAGTGAAAACAAATTAACCTTGTCACAGGTTGTGAATATTTTTTTCTCTGAGCTCTTGGAGCAGAAAGGAAGGAAGGAATTTATTCCGCTAATTGTGTTGCCATTTCGTGAATTTTCATTTTCCAACAGATGCGAATGGTGAATTTGTCAAGAATTGTTGTTACCTTAATCTTTAATGCTACTCTTTCCACGTCAGTCAATATAGACGTTGAGCCAAGGGATGGAGAAATATTTCGCAGGGGAAAAATTAAAGGCTATTATTGTTCTCTTGGGAGGGAATATCAATGGTAGTGTTCAGTGAACCAATAAATGTCATATTGGCAAGGAGCATTAAGTACTATGTTTAGGAGATGTTAAATCATTTTTAATACGCTTTTTAATTAATCAGTGCAAGATTTTATTAGTTAAATACGAAAAAAACTAAGACTATCTGAGAAATTTGCGAGTCAGTCAACCTACATATTTTTTACATTTTTATACCCTACAACACTTTGTGTTGGGGTATTATAAGTTTGATTGGGCCGAAAATTATGTAACACCACGAAATATTGACTTCCCACATAGGAAAGTATATATGGATCTTCCTATCTCACCGAGCTGAGTCGATCTAGCTATGTATGTCCGTCCGTCCGTCTGTCCGTCTGTCCATGTTAATTTGTAATCACTCTACAGGTCACAATTATGGCCCGATCTTCACGAAATTTAGAATGGAGGTGGGGTTAAGGTCAGAATAGAACCCTATTTCTTTTGGAGATGATCGCATAATATTTAGGGGTTGGAATGGACCAGCAACTCAAAATGTTCCTGATTTTGCATCCATTATAAAGATCACAAATAGAAACCGAAGGACGCGAAATCTCGCATGAAGTTATAGTTTAGTATAGCGGGTAGAATGGACCACAACTTTTGTGTAAAAAAATACCAACATTACTTACAGGCGATATCCAAAATATATAGCCAAATATCGTATATAGCCAAATATCGAATATAGCCAAATATCGTAGACAAGCAAATCATATAGATGAGTCTAAATTTGGAGATACAGAGGGATGTCTTGCTTTTGGAGATGATCGCAAAATATTAGGGGGTTCAAATGAACCAAAAACAGAAAAAAAAAGAAAAAATGATCACACAATTGAAGCCAATCGACACGCCTGAGAATAAAGGTAAGCAGAGGGAAGAATTCTGGCATTTTGGATGACCATTGGATTATATTTAGCCGTTAAATGGACCACAAAAACTAACAGCACGAGAGAGTGCATAAATATTGGGAAAATGTCCCTGGTCAAAATCCTAAGGGTAATATCGGGCAGTGCTTCATGACATAATTTCAAAAGCGAAATCTTCCAAAATGGATTTGGACAAAAGGGGGCTTCTCACATATTGTAGTGTTGTAGGGTATCACATAGTCGGCCCCGCACGACTATAGCCTTTGCTTACTTGTTTTTTGTAATTTTATTGAATAAAAGCAAAAAATGTCGGAAATATTTAAGAAAAAGTTTAGATTTGTTCGAATTGGTCACCTTTGGCACGAATTATGGCCTTCAAAAGGCCAATGGACCCGTCACATTCCCGGCAAAACGCTTGCTTGAGGTGATCGGCGCTTTGGTATTTTTAGTGCCAACCTTGCTTTCCAGTATACTCCAGACACAATAGTCCAACGGATCGGTA